AATAATTCTGGTCATTTTCGTTAGGGTCAGATTAGATTTAGGTTAAGGTTAGTGCGATTTTTTAAAAAAACTTGTCGGTAAAATGGGCTGTCATTGAAATAGTTGTCGATGAAATAAACTTGTCGGTGAATTGATTGTCGGTGAACCGAGGTGTCGGTGAAGTGATTGTCGGTGAAATGATACGTATCCCAAATAAAATACCTGTACAATGCAGTTGTGCAAAACCAGTAATAGGAATATATTGTAAGATTTTAAAAAAAGGTTTGAAATTGCATCAAACTTATGTTGTTAAGCAAAACATTTTTGCAAAATGACAAAAGACAAAACCTACTCCTCAAATGACAAAACCTCTGGTGAAACTGACAAAACCTGCAAAATATGCAAAACCTTTATAAGACAAATTTCTTATAGACAGCAAAATTTCTGATAGAAGTAAAAGCCTATTATAAAGAATTAAAGCTCTGGCAAAAGATAAAGCCTTAAAGGCTATGTTATTGTTTTAATATAAAAATATTTTGGAATAATTTTTGATTAAAACTTATTGTTATTAAGATGTGAAGCCATTGTTTAGATACGAAACTATTATTTAGATGTGAAACTACAGTTTAGATGCAAAGCCATTGTTTTTATATAGCTTTTACAAGAATGTTTGTCCATAAAATATCATATTTGGTTGGATGTTACAATTGGCCACGATTTCTAATTATGTAGCCACAGATAATTTCAGGTTTGCAGATTGAATGAACCATGTGATTAAAAGGCAACAAAACTTTAATGGCTTAATATGCCTTTTCTATTTTGTGAACCTCCAGTTTTATTTTAATAGTGCATTATATAGTATATGCATAATACAGTTATAGTACTGTGATATCGGGGTGGCCAATCATCTAATAGAATCAAATATATGTCTAGTCTCATTGAATTTTGTATAATGATAGATTTTTTGATCAAAAAAATATGACGCAGTTTTTATATTAAAAGATTAATAAAATTCACTTGGATATTTAATGCTTAATAATGATAATTTTTTTTTGATTTTAACATCTTTCACTCTTTAATGCATTCTCAACAATTCTATGTTTTCAGATTTTACATACTATAGTAAATTTTTCAATTAAAAAATATATTTAAAACTGGTATATATATAATCTAATACTTTTTTTTAAACTATATATTATAAAAATTGGTAAGACTATATATAAAGTATAATTATTTCAATATAGCTTTGTATAAGAAGTGTTATGACTTCTTTTTACCAAATTTTGTGTCAATTCATCAAGCAATTAAGGTTGAATAACCATTTAAATCTTTTAAAATGTGTTTGTAGTCACGCTTCGAATATAGGTTACTAAATGCTGTTATACATTGAAATGAGCATCATGCGCCTTATCATTGTAAGGTCATATATCATAATTTTATAAAAAATTTATTGATGAAAAAAATCTGTAATATTGCAAATTTATATGGAACTAGACATATGGGGGGGAGTCAGTAGAAATGGGACAAATTTTTTCTAAATAAAAGTTTTCTTAATTTTAAATTTAAATATCTTATCAACTATCTTATTAAATCTAATAAATTTTTTTTATTTTAATTTCAGAGAATTCTAGAATTAAAATAAAAAAAAATTTATCAAAACTAGTTAAGTAGTTGTCAAGAAATTGTAATTTAAAAATTAAAAAAAATTCACTAAAAATGATTTGTCCCATTTCTACTGACTCCTCCCATATGTTTGGTTTTATTGAATAATCAACCACCCCACTGTGACGTCCAGTGGGAGAGACTTGTTATATCATTGTAGATTTAACTTAGAGATGTCAGCATTAAAGGGTCAAAAGTAAGTATTCATTGTCTCTTTATTTGTATCCAAAGTATTAAACTAATATATTTATTGTGTCTCAGACACTATAGAACCAATACCTCTATTTCTACTAACCAAGCTAATAAGTTCCAAACTTACTAGAACCCAAATAAAAGATACAAAACTAAGAACTAACTAAAATTCCTTTTAAAATTCCAAACTAAAGTACTACCAAATTACTAACTAAAACTCTAATGTTCTATATGTCTTTATTTATATATACAATTAGACTACAAATTGACTATTAACAATTTACAAGTATGTTGTATAACTATATAAAAGTCTAATTAAAGTATGTATTACAACTATTAACTTTGCATAGACTATTATAGAGTTATATTACAAATTATACATAGTACACAAGCCAAAGTTTAATTTTGAAACTTGGTTGCATCACAGTACTTACAATATTATCTGCAGTAAAAACATTAAGTTGCAAAGCCCACATTGCTACCATTGATATAATCCTGCTATACTGTACTGTTATATTATTGACGTGCTGCAATGAATGGTCAAAAAGGAACCTATTATAAGATTTGAAAGTGTCAATAAAAATATTGAGAAAGGATGCATTGATAGATTAAGGTAGTACAATGTAAAGTTGAGAAAAGGTATTGTATTAACCTTTACTATTAAAGTCCTACATATATACACACATTTGTATGTGTTAAAAGCAATTTAGTTGACTAACCAAACTACTAGCGACTTAATATCCATCTACTTTAGAGGTTTGATTGGCCATTATATTTCAATAACATGTTTTGTTTATCAGACTTAGCATTAGCACAAAAGTTTAAATGAAAAAAATTATCGTTAAAATTTTGTATTCATAAGTATTATCTTATTTTGTCATAATAATATTCAGTTGTGTAACTTTAGTTAGTTATATAACTTTCATTTTTGTTGCATAATTTAATAATTTTAACAAGAGTTTAATTTAGATTCAACAATAATTATATGTAATAATACGTTATAATAAAGAAATCCTTTTTTAGTGAAACTATGAATACATTCAAAAATATTACCAATCGAAATAAACTGCTTTATACTAACAATATTAATCAAGAGTCACACTCCTTATTATCTAAACCTAGGAATAATATCTGCTTTTTTCTCACCAACCAATCATTAAATAATACTTTGATTTAAAGTAACGATTATACCAATTAGTCTGAAGGAGATGTTTTCATCCAAATTTACCCAAAAAGAAGCATTGTCGTGGACCTAGACTGGATCAAATCCAGCAATTATTTGGAAGATAGGCATCATAAATTATTTTACAGTCAGACCTCTCTAAATATAACACCCCATTAAATGCAACCTTTAATTCACCTAGATATATGCTATAATTTTATAAAAGCAATTTTTCTTACTGTTCCCTAAATGCAAGCTATCAAAAGTCCAGTCCCTATGAATTGCACTTAGGAAGATCTGACTGTAATCAGGCATGCAAAAACTGCAAGATAAAGAAATTAATAAAATAAAAAAAATATCTTCACATCTAACATATTGATATACAGCTAGTCATGTATATATTTGTATATAGTGATAGTTCTGTATACAAAAATTATGTACAAAGTAAAATTATATTAAGTTACAGCAGTACCAAACTAAGGGTTCTGGAATTTAAACAATATTGTAACAGGCAGTTCTTTTACAATAAAGTAGTGGTAATATGTTAGGAGGTAATTATTTTTTAGTTTTCTTTGAAGTTTTTTTCTTCTTTTTTTTTTGATTCTTCTTCAATATCTTGCTTATACAAATATTCTAAATCATCATCATCTGAAACATCTTCAGGGCAGACTTTCTCATCTTGAATGTTATTCTCAACAACCGTTTCAAGACAATTCAAAGCCAAATCTGATAATTTGTTTTTGCCTTTTTGGATTTGAACTGTCTCAGAGTTAATACTAACAGAAGTTATCGAATCGGAAATGGTGTAGCAGAGTTATTGGTAACAGAAGATGAGCTAGTCCCTTGTTTAGAAGAACTTGATGTAATTACACGAGGCCTTTTTAGTGCTCGTAGAGTAGTAGATTCAACATCTTCAGCAATTAAATCAATGTTTAAGCGATTATCTGAAGAAGTTGAAGAAGTTCTTACTTGAGCATTCTGAATTGTATTGGTATTGGTGAATATAAAGTCGAGGTTAGTGAGTTCAACTATAGTAAAATCGGAAGTTATTCGTTTAATAAAACCAAACACAATAAATGTTCTGCCTGTTTTAATATTGTTATTAACATGTAGATAGGAGTATCTTGGAGTATTGGTAGGGTAAAAAATTCTTAATTTCATATGAACATTCTTAGAATTTGTATTTGAGTTATACTGATAGCACCTGGCATTAAAATAAGTAGACTCCCTACATTCCTTTGGTTCACAGGAGACAAGCACAGAAAACATGCAGTGAGGAGTGCTAAGTGGTATTTCACTGGCTTCAAATTCTTGATCAGGATCACTAGTCACAATAACACAAACATAAGAAATAGAAATGTATTGCTCAAGGTTTTCAACTATAAATTTACCTGCGAATATTACAATATCTCTAACTGAAAATTCAGTATAAGGTTGATTAAAGAGATAAAAATATTTTCAGCAAACCATTTTAAAATCATTTTCAGATGTTTGATACTTAGCAAAACCCTGGGTTAAAGCATTAAAATTCTCTTTTGTAACTATAATAACAATTACAGTAGTATGCGATGGCATAATTAATTGAACTCTGGGAAAGTCAAACCTCAGCAAAGATCAAACCCTCTAGGATATTAAAAAAGATCGAGCTATATTTTCTTTTTTTTTTTATTATTTTATTTTATTTTATTTAGTAAAACAAAATATTTTGTATGTAGCTATTAAGCACAGCATATGGTTTATTTAAAAATATACAAAAGCAATAAACAGAGTAATAACCTTTTGCTTACATTTCATATACTATTAAAGAAAATTGGTTTTCTGGCTTATGGAACTTCAAAATAAATAAATCCAGACTTGAAAATTCAAAGCCCAAAACCTTGTTTTTTTTTTTTAGCAATGCTTATTTTATTAATTTTACCAAACAAATTTACCATGAAGTAAACTATTTTTTTTTGTTTGCATAATAAAAAATTATAAATATAACCTGAATATGATAAAAAATTTTTGGGGGCCTATGCACAAATAGATCTGATCTTCTGCGCATTCAGCGCATATAGCACACATAAGATAATATAAAATTTTTTGCCAAAAATCTTTCCTATTTTAGTCAAAAAGGAAATGTGGCAGATCACGAGCAGAAGTGCAACTAATAAATAAAATATTTCAAACCAGACCATAAACTGTTTTAGATATGATCTACCACAATTCGGTAAAAAAAGATTATAGAGAGTTAAATTTTTGGATCTGTGTTTTATATTAAATTATTATAAAAAAATTAATTTTACTTTGCCTTTAATTTCTCTCACAATATTTAACATTTTTAAATTTTATAAAAGCAAATTGCTTAATAAAAGGTGTCTTGATAAAGTAATAACATTAGAATTTTATCTTATTAATTAAAATATGTCACAGCTTATCTGAGTGTCTACTATCATACAATTTATTGCAGTCACATAGTAATTCGTTGGCCAGTTTTTCTTATAAAATTTGAAGAGCACACTAAGAAAGTTTTGGAAAATATAATTTTACTAGCTCTCAAACCCAGGCAATGCTTCGGAAGCACAGATTCAATTTTTTCTAGCTTTTAAGTTTTTGAATTTTTAGTTTTCTAGCTCTCAGGCCCAGGCAATACTCTGGAGACTTGGTCTTAATTTTTTTTAGTTTTAATATATATTAATAAAATTGTTATAATTTAGTCTTTAGTTATTATATATTAA